ATGATTAAATAAACTTTATAAAAATAAAGCTTCTCAAAAATCTAGAAGACTCAGAATGTAAACCCACAGTAAGTCAATGAAAGGAAACATTAGATGTAAGAGTGAAATCAATAAAATTGGAAACAGAAAAATACAGAGAAATTTAATGACCACTGAATTGGTTCTTAGACTGTATCAATAAAATCTGCAAATTTTGGCATTACTTGTTAAAGAAAAGAGAAAAGAAAGATATTGCCATTATCAGGAATGACGTATTAGTAAAGATTCTGCAGACCTTAAAGAATAATAAGGGTGGGACCAGCAGCTATCATGGAGGTTGTTTCCTGGTTCCCACATGAGCAATCATCCCAGATCCAGCAGCCTGAAAAACCAAACCAGGGACCAGCAGTTTGTATAATGGCTACATCACTAGATTCCCATGTAGTCAACCACAGTTCAAGTCCCAGACCCTGTGGCTTAAACTCACGCTGGGCACCTGTGCACAAGTGGCCAAGATACTGAGAGGAGAAGGGAGGAGAAGGGATTATGGCATGGCCATCCCCCCTGGGGGGTGATTTCTAGCTTTTTATCTCTCTGTCTATGTCTTTCTGGTGAGCACACACACCCTATAGCAAAAACAAGCAAAAAACCCCCACAAAAACAAAACAAAACAACAAACAAACAAACAAAACAAACAAACCAGGTGCATGTGAATGTGTGCCCAAAATCCCAAGAGAAGAATGGAAAAGGGATAGTAGCATGGCCTTCCCTCTGGGGGTGATTTCTCACTTTTCCTCTCTTTCTGTGTCTCGCTCTAATGAGCGTATGTTTCTTGTAGCAAAATACAAAAACCAAAAATAAACAATAGAAAGAAACAAAAATATATAAAGGAATACAATGGACACTCTAAACAAATTTAACATCCTAAATGAATGAAACCCACTTCTTACTAACAACAAGAACACACACACACACACACACACACACACACACACACACACACAACACACAAACTGTTACAGCTTATTCAGTATGAAAGACATCGTTGAGTAGCCCTATAACTATTAAAGGACTTGAATTGTAAATTTAAGAAATTTCAGAAAAGAAATCATCAGACCCAGATGGTTTCTTTCAGAGAATACTAAGAAATAGTTAAACAAGGATTAACACTAATTTTGTATAATGTCTTCTAGAAACAGAAGTGGAGAGAAACACTCATTTGTATAAAATTATAACCTTTATATATAAAAGGCAAAACAAAAACAAAAATTACAAACAGGGCCCGAGTTATCTGATCCTTTCCTCATAGTTCGGACATGAAAAAAATGAATGCAAGAACATATGAATGTGTCTGTGTGTGATTCTAACACTCTGTAAGTAAGTGCTTTCTACTGAGTCCCATAGCAACTTACACAGTAAGACATACAACTGCACAATAAATGTTAAACATCATTGATTTTCACTATTTACTATTTTAAAATAGCTTATGTTCATTTTCATTCCCTTGTCTGCATATTTATATATATATATATATATATGTGTGTGCACATAGATATAGATACACACATAGGAAGTTGTGCCTTATTTATGAATCAATATATAGGTAGTAAGAATGTAAAGCTTTCACTCTTGTTCCTTCTCCCATAAGGATAAGTTTGATTCCCACACCAGCACCTGTGTTTCTAAAGTTCTGAAATCCTCTTGAGATAAGTAACACATTTTTCTTTAAAGAGGTTGGTTCAACAGAACAAATATGAAGGTATTTAGAAGTTGAGTCATGTATGTACTTATATGGAACGATTGTATTAATTTTTGATGAAGACACTGAACATCTCGACCAGATTGCTTACTGCTCAATGTTTTGCTATCCAGGTATCAAAGGACATAAAAATGGGGGCTAGTGACAGGAGGTATTTTTAATAAGACAAAGTGGTGAAAGGCTTTGAATGCATGTGAATTATTTATGATATTCTCAGAAATACAGATTTGATTTCACTCACTGTGTTTGAAGGCAGAAGTGTTGTGAAAGAACAGATTTCCCTGGGAAATGTTTCTTTAACCAATTCTCAGATTACAATTCAGTTGAACTTTTCATGATAACTATGAATATCTATGTTGTTTTCCTAACTAAATAGAAATCAAGGCTCAGTTGTGATGAAAGGCAGATGTAAGTCACTTCCATGTCAAGAAAAAATGGAGATAGTGATAGAATAGTCTGTGATCATAGTCGGAATACTGTTGCCTCTTATCCACCTTCTCTTTGTTCCTCAAGATGAAAGTGTAATTTTTCTTTGTTCATTTCTAGAGACTGTTTTATCCATTTTAGGTAGCATCACTTACCTGTAGCAGCTCACTTTCATATGAAACAAAGAACGTGGTTTTTGTTTTGTTTTTGTTTTTGTTTTTAATTTATTTCTTTTTGTATATACATTCAATCGCATTGTTTAGCTTACAATGTGAGCATTTCAATATGTGAACATTTCTCCCCAGTCCCATTGATCAAAATATCTTCAACCGATAACACCACCCTTCCCCATCCCGTCAATGTTCTACCTCCGTATTCCTTCTCCAAATGTCCTTCATTAGTCCCACTCCTCCACATACACCTCATCTGACATTCACACCCATCTCTTGTGTTTGTACAACCATTAGTCAATCAGTTTCAGTCATAGAGTGCAGACATTCGGTATATGTTAAGTGGGGACATACAATGTCTCTCCTTCATAGCCTGACTTGCCTCACTCAGCAGTAAATCTTCCATATTTTTCCACTTTTTGTCAAAAGAAGGACATGGTTTTAAAGAGTAAAACTATTCTAGTAAAGAAACAATTCTATTATCTATGAGATTTGGAAATAAGAATAGAAAAATTATTGTAAAGTTATACTTTATAATGATATTCATGTATTAATGTTACTATTTTATGTGTCAGTATAGCTGTGCATACCTACAATTATATTATCATATATTAAAATCATTTTAAGTATTGGGAAAAAATGTGATCTGCTTTGTAGTTGTTACTATATTACATTCATATAAGGCTGTGTCTAATACTGAGAGTTTTGTGAATTTATTGAACATGAGACCTAAAAGTATTATGTAAAAATAGAGTCAGCTTTAATATTAAAGCTGTATTTGTAAAAAACACAAAGGATCTAAATAGGATATTTATTTCATATTTAGAAAAGATATTATTCAAAATACAGCACATGATATCTCAGAAATATATTTTGTTTGTGAAATATATGTACTTAGACTTTCCCCACTTGTTCCTGTTGATGGGATACAGAACATTAAGAACTATTTGCATGTATTAAGAAAAAAATAGGGAACCAGCAGTTAGCGTAATGGCTATGTCGCTGGACTCCCACGTAGTCGACTGCGGTTCGCGTCTCGGACCCGGTGGCTTAAAACTCACGCCGGGCGCGTGTGCGTGCGAGCCCAAGATCCCGAGAGGAGAATGGAGGAGAAGGGATTGCGGCATGACCATCCCCCCGGGGGGTGATTTCTCACTTTCTTTCTCTATGTCTCTCTCTGTCTGTCTGGCAAGCGCACGCACCCTATAGCAAAAACCTCTCAAAAAAAAAAAAAAAAAAAGAAGAAAAGAAAAAAAAATGAGTGGTGACACATCTTTTTTTTCAATAACTTATATCCATTTAATACATATATGTCAAACATTTACCACCCAAAATTTCAAAGTTTATTTTATTTTCAAGATAATCAATAATATGTATGTATATGTAATAAATACACATGTATATGTAATTACATAAATATGTACTGTATGAAATATATTAGCATGTCTTTTGTTTCTTTTAAAACTACCTGTGAAAGTAATCTGAAAAATGCAAAGTTGTATGCAAATACAAAATGTACATTTATTTTACTTTTTAAATTTAATATATTTGATTTCTTTTATACATTCAATCACTATACATCACTTACTTGTAAAGTGAATTTTCCAACATGAATACAGTTCACACAAGATCAGCTGGGAATACTATACATGTTATCATCAACAGCTAATAATCCATTTCTGTGTCCCATAAATGTCTTATCCCTCTGTTTTTCTCCTTAATATCTTTTCTCACATTCTTCCACCTCTCCCACCCTATTCCCACACTATATCAAGTATCTATAACCATTTTCCATGTTTCTATATCCTCTAATCTTTCAGTTTCAGTCACAGAGTGGGGACAGTGAGGATGTACTAAGTGGAGACATACAATGTGTGTCCTTCATAGCCTCGCTTGCTTCACTCAGCAGTATTTGTCCACTTTCTATCAAAAGCCAGGGTCTTGTTTTTTATGACTGAGTAGTATCTTATAGAGTATATGTGCCCCACTTTTTTGAAGTGCACATTTAAAGAAATTTGGACAATTTTGGTAACTTGTTATGTGAAACAGTGTTATTCTTTTTTCCAAAATACAAATTTCAAGGCTTTTATTATTCATGCAACTATTTAAGGACAACATGCTAAAGAAATTGAAGATCAGCTAATAAGCTGCTATATGATTTAAGTGATTGCTCCATTTTATTTTAATTTTATTTGGTTATTACTTTTAATTGTCAGAGTGCTCTATTGCTTTCCAACGAGAGGTGGAAAGACAAAAAAAAAAAAAAAAAAAAGAGAGAGAGAGAGAGTAGAAAGCATCCCCCAATAAGGAGTAGTCATGCCACAATTTCTTCTCTATTTCCCATCCTGTCATGATTTTGGGGATGCACACACCTCTGCCTGGGATGTTTTTCAAGCCACCAGACTTGAGATTCCAACTGAGGTCGGCCTGTGGAATCCAGCTCCTTTAACCACTAGCCCATGGGGTCAGGGTCAGGTTAATTGTTCCATTTTTAAAACTTCTACTGAGTACCAACAAAACGAGGAAGAAGATTATTCAGTGTTTTCTGATAATTTGTTGTGAATGAAAAAACTGGCTGTATTAGTTTAAATTGTACTCCATCAAATATTTTAAAAAACTGTTTCTTAAGAGGTAGCCAGGGACATGGTGGTTGAGGTAGCTGGATAACACATGGCAGACTGTGAGATTGGAGTCATAGACCCAGCAGGCTGAAAAATATGCTGGGCACGTGTGCGTGCATGTTCAGAATTTCAAAAGGAGAAACGTACGTGAAGGGATTGCTGCATAGCCATCCCCTGTTGGAGATGCTTTCTCATTTTTTCTCTCTCTGTCTCGCTCTGGTGAGTGCATGTGCTCTCTAGCTAAAAAAAAAAATTAATTAATTAAATAAAAAGAATCGTTCCCCCAAAGTTATCTTGATCCATGTTCCTTGCTGTTCATTTCTGTATTATCTGAAATTAATATTTTCTTTCCAATTTTTGGTGCCTTTTTCCTGTTAGTATGTTTTTGTTTGCACAGTCTTGGCATGGATTTTGAATGTGATTTTCTTTCTTATGAACATTTTAAAATTGTAAAACCTATATATTTTTTAAAAAAAAATTAATTTTAGCCAATTTGTAGTATAGTTCAAATACTTTGTTTCCCAAGCCAACACATCTGGATTACCTATTATATAATTCTTTCTGCTTTCTTGGGATTTTTAATTGCTGTCTCTAATTTATGTTGAGCTTTTAGAAAATTTAAATTTTCTAGCAATATATGAGGTAGATACTGTAATTTTCTTTCTTCTGCTGTTAGTTTTGATGCCTTTTAGGTATTAATATTTAGAATATAGCTTAATGTTTAAATTCAAGAATGAAATACATGAATTCACTTACTTAAAAGTCTGTTTATTTATTAAAAAATATCTGATATCTTGAGTCCAGCAGAACTTGTTATGGTTACATAGTTAGACTCCCACATAGTCGACAACAGTTTGAGTCCTGGACCTGGCAGCTTAAAACTCATGCCAGATATGTGTGCGTGTGTGCCCAACGTCCTGGGAGGAGAAGGGATTTTGGAGTGGCCATTCCCCCCTGGGGGATGATTTCTTGCTTTCTGTCTCTCTGCCTCTCTGATGAGTGCACAAACCCTATAGCAAAAATCTCTCTCTAATATGTATATATGCATACATGATATACAATATGTATTAAGTGACTTGCTGTTCACTGAAAATATAAATATAAAAGAAAATCTGCCTAAATACTAAGAATCTTGTTAGTTTATGAGTGACTTATAAGAAAAATTTTATACTAGTATAATGATAAAATACTAAAATACATTGAGTCATCAAAAATTATCTGCTGCTGACGATATCTTTGGTAATAGTTCAGACTGGACTAATTTGGAACATATTCATGGTGGGAAAATTCATTTTGTATGCTATAAAGATGTACAGTGATTGAATGTAAAACGTAAGAAAGAAAAAACAGTTAAAAATAGTTATTCCTTAACTCTAGCCTTGGTAATTTGCTTTCTATATTATTATTCTTAAATTTATTGATGTAAGTTTCCCGTGAGAAAGAGAGTGAGAGACTTTTCTTCATACTGTAATCCACTCTTTCTCAGCTAGTCAGGATAATTGGCAAGTTTATGTGCACCCACTATATATAGAGAGGCTACTGGTTGCAAACCCAGAACCTCCTCGTATGTACATTCAGTTGTATTACTGCTGTGCCACTGTCTGTGTGGAAAGTCTACTTATCTGAGTTCAGATTTTTAGTTCAATTAGATTAATTCCACAAATAAATATGTAATACATATAGTAGATGAAGAGGGATTTCTGGGTAAGAATCATGTGGAACACCTAGGGAACAGCTGTATTTCAGAGGCAGGAGGAAAGAGATTTCCCAGGAAACTGACAGTATAGAAAAGGACCAGAATTGATAGATTGTTTTTAATTGTTATAAACTAAAATCATTTTTCCATTTCTTGCATTAAGTCCAAAATCTTGAGATATCTACATCAAATACTAAGCAAAAACAAAGCAAATAATTAAAATAACATTGACTAGGAAAGAAAATGCAACTATCCTAAAGGGATACTAAGCAAGGGATAATACATATAATAACATGCATTAAATAATAATTAAAAAAATCCATTTCAAGGGAATTATGAAGAAAAGCAGAAGAGGTGTATTTTTTTTTTAAGATAGGTTTTTGCTATAGGACACATGCGCTCGCCAGACAGACAGACAGAGACAGAGAGACAGAAAGCGAGAAATCGCCCCCCAGGGGCATGGCCACGCAGCATTCCCTTCTCCTCCATTCTACTCTCAGGATCTTGGGCATGCACGCACACGTGCCCAGCATGAGTTTAAGCCACCAGGTCCAGGACGCGAACCGCAGTTGACTACGTGGGAGTCCAGTGACATAGCCATTACACCAACTGCTGGTCCTGAGGTGTATTTTTAACAATCCAGAGGTCCAGGCAAGTAAAGAGCTGAAATATATGAGAATACATGACTATGGGAATGTGGGTTTCAACAGTCAGAACGATGGAGCTAGAAATTTTGTTTTGTTTTGTTTTTTAGATTTTTTGCCATTGGGAATGTGTGCTGTCCTATGAGAGATAAAGAGAAAGGGAAAGTGAGAAATCATCCCCAGTGGGGTGAGGTGAAGAAGTCTCACTGCAATATCTTTTCCTCCATTCTCCTATCGGAAATTTGAGCATAATCACACAATGCACCCAGTGTGTTTTTCAAGCCATGGGGTCTGGGAGTCAGCCATATGGAATTCAGCTGCCTTAACCTCCAATTCACCTGTTAGTCCAAGATTTTTGTTTTGATTATTCTCCTTATGGTACTAAAATAAACACACATTCTAATGACAAAATTTAGAAGAAAAGTATTTGAAGAGAAATGGTCAGAAAAGGGTTCAGTTTGAATGTGAATACATAACAATTTGGACATGAAAAAGCCTCATTGACATAATGCTTCCATTTACTCAGTTGTTAAGTAAGGATTACTAAAAATATCACTCAGATTGCAGTGAAGATTAAATGAGTTAAATAAAATTACTAGAATAGTAACTGATATATAGGAAGCATAACTATTATCTATTAATTAAGAATAAGAACAAAAATAAATATATCCCAAGCATCTCTGTTTTGTCATTGGGGAGGTAATCAATGAGTTTTTCCTTAAGAAAATACTGAAGTAGCAGTCTGTAAAGTTCTGAATATTCAAAAACGATATAACAGAAATAGCTTCAGAAAGATCATAACATTGACTATTCTAATACCTGACTAAATTTATAAGCACTGCTTCTATGCCTTTTCTGTTTTAAAATCATGCAGATAACATTATATGGATAGAGCCTGGCATGTATTGGGTACTAACTGTGTATATGTTGAATGAATTGATAAACAAATAGATCAATAAACAATACATACTATATATTGTTACTTAAATATATTTAAGTAAACATTACCTGGACTTGTAAGTTTTGTTGTTTGATATTATAGTGCACTATTTAGTGAACAAAACACAGAGAAACAGAAACAGAGAGGCAGAACAAGAGATCACAGCTGAGACTTTTTTCTTTTATTATTATTGTTTTAATTTAGGAGGATCAAAAACCAAGAAAAAATATATATAAAAACACAGGATTTTTCAAGATCGTGTCAGCCTAATCATGCTGGTGTTGAACCAAACAGACCTGACCCCAACTTCATTAATTCTTAATGGAGTCCCAGGACTGGAAGACATGCATGTCTGGATTTCCTTCCCTTTCTGCTCCATGTATGTGGTGGCTGTGGTTGGGAACTGTGGACTCCTCTACCTCATCTGCTGTGAGGACTCTCTGCACAGGCCCATGTACTACTTCTTGGCCATGCTTTCCTTTACTGACCTTGTCATGTGCTCTACTACAATCCCCAAAGCCCTCTGTATCTTCTGGTTTCATCTTAAGGAAATTACCTTTGATCATTGCCTGGTCCAGATGTTCTTCATTTACACCTTCACAGGAATGGAGTCTGGGGTGCTCATGCTTATGGCCCTGGACCGCTATGTGGCCATCTGCTATCCTCTGCGCTATTCAACCATCCTCACCAATCCTGTCATTGCAAAGGTTGGTCTCAGTACTTTCCTGAGAGCAGTGTTGCTCATAATTCCCTTGATTTTCATCACAAAGCAACTACCCTACTGTAGAGGCAATGTAATACATCATACTTACTGTGATCATATGTCTGTTGCCAAGTTGTCCTGTGGAAATATTAAGGTGAATATCATCTATGGATTACTAATTGCCCTGTTCATTGGGGGTTTTGACATCCTGTGCATCACAGTCTCCTACACCATGATCCTCCGGGCAGTGGTTAGCCTGTCCTCAAGAACAGCTCAGCAGAAGGCTTTCAGCACCTGTACGGCCCACATCTTTGCCATTGTTTTCTCCTACAGTCCAGCTTTCTTTTGTTTCTTTTCTCACCGCTTTGGGAGCCACATAATCCCACCATCTTGCCACATTATTGTAGCCAATATTTATCTGCTCCTGCCTCCCACTATGAACCCTATTGTGTATGGAGTGAAAACCAAGCAGATACGAGACTGTGTCATAAGGATCATTTCAGGTTCTGAGGACTCAAAATCCCACAAAATATGAAAGGGACATTTGTCAGAGAAGAGAAAGAAAAGGGAAAGAATGGAAGCTAAGCAAAAGAAATAGGATCCAAGAGAAAGGAATAGATAGATACAGAGAGGTATTTTTATCAGCATTTTGTCAGGTCTAAGGATGCCCCGAAAGTACCATTATGGCATGACAAGGGAGGGTGTTAAATAGTACATTCCCATTAAGTGGCGTCAGAATCTCATATCACTGAACCACCCTCTCTATGAGTTCTTCATCTTCTCATGCTTACAAAGAACTGTTACATCCTTAACACACATTTCCATGAATAAACATAAGGGGAAGCTGAGTCAGTTATAAAAAACATGAATAAAGTAGATGAGGATCTTACAACCAAGATGCTAGTTTGTACTGTTATTAATGATTGGAATTTCTGCTTTGAAAGATAATAGTTATTTTCTTCTAGAAAACGTGTTTTATCATTACCAAAATTGCTCTATTTTCTTCACACTGTCTTTCTGATGGAGAAAGTACAAAATATCCCTGTGATCATCAGTGCAATGTTGTACCCTTTGCATTTCTAAGTTGGAAACAAATTAGTCATATAATCACATGGCTCCTAGCCTAGCTCAGACAAAACTGCTTCCCTATAGACTAGAGAGAGATGCAGTTCTTTGCAAGATGGTCTTCAAAACCGTATAGTCTGGAGACTATATATCTACACATATAGTTTTATGTAGTTACATATTTAATTGATAAATAAGAATTGTATGTATTTTTAAAGTATGCATAGGTACTTAATATTATGTAATGATCAAATCAGAACAATAAACATACCATCTGAAGCATTTATCATTAGTTTTTGCTGAGATTTTTTTGTTTATATTTTTTTATTTCAAATTCACTCTTCTAACTCTTTGAAATACATTGAATTTTTATCAACTATACTTAACTGTGTGATAGTACTCTAGAACTCCTAGAAGGATTATTGAATCTAATAATCAAATTCTTTCTCCTGGTTCCCCTATTTCCCTCCCTTTTCTGGTTTCTGATATTTTCTACTTCCCTCTTCACTACTATAAAATAAAATCTTTTTGCTTCCACTAATTAGTGAGGTCATGCAGTATTTATTTTTCATACCTCCCTTATTTCACTTACCATTGTTTCCTCCAGCTTTATTTATGTTGTCATGAATGACAGTATTTCATATTCTGGATGGCAGAATAATATTCCATTGTATATATAGACCACATATCCTTTTAACCTGATAAATTTTACTATATAATTTCTACTTTACACATAATAGTTGTACATATTCATGTGGAAGAGTGTGATATTCAGAATATATATCCCTTGTGTATTGAAAAATTCAGTGTGATGAACACATCTACCATCTCAAGCATTCATCACTACCTGTAGTATACACATTTGAAATCTACATTTCTAATTATCTTGAAGTATGTGTTGAATTGTCATTCACTATCTTTAATTTGCTGGGCAATTCCACTCTAGAACTCACTCTATCCATTCATCTGCACTCTGGTATCTATTACTCATGTTCTCATCCTCCCTTCTACCTCTCTCTCTCCAAGTTCCAGCATCCACTGTTACATTCTTCACTTCTATGCAATCAAGTGTTTTAGCTCCTATTAATAACTGAGGACATATAGAATTTGTCCTCCAGTGCTTGCCTTATTTCTCTTAGCATTAGATCCTCTAGGTCTGTCCGTGTTGCTCCAAATGACTGTATTTCTCCTTTTCATGGTCAAATAATATTCTATTTTGTGAATATATAACATTTTCTTCACCATTCAATTGTTTTGGGCAATTAATTTTCTTTAATGTAGTTCAGCTTTTGTGAATGTTGCTAAAATAACATGGAAGTACAGATATGTCCTTGATATACTCATTTCTTTTCCCTTGAGTTTATGCCAGTTGTAGGATTACTGGATCATAATAGTTCTAGTTTTAGTTCTTTAGGAATCTCCATACTGTCTTTTGTAATGGCTGTACTGATTACATCCAACCTACTGTGCTGAAGAGTTCTCCTTTCTCTACAACAGCAACAGCACTTGTTATTCTTTGTTTTGACTTTTAAGAATAGCCATTCAAGCTGGGACAATACTCTGGTGTTGATTTGAAATAAATCCTTAAAAAGCAAAAACAAAACAAAATTAGGAAGAGATGTTTTAAGAGATGCTTTACAGTATCTCTCCTCAAAGACACTGTAAAGTCCGATTGGTGATTTGTAGGCTTTACAACCTTCTTGTTTTTAGCTTTCTTTAAATTCATTCCAAAGAAAGACTCAGCTACTTGTAATATTTTTGACTTTTCCTCTGTAATCTAGTTTTATATAATGAATAATGGTTATGATAAATATATAAATTAAAATCTGTTGGGAGAACTGTCTATCAAACAATTGATTAATTTATTCTTAACCCTACTTGTTTGTAGAATAGATGAATCTCCATTTTTAGCTTTTTAGTAGGGAAATAAAATCCACATATTCAATATTATCAGTATGTTTGAATTTATCCTTTTTGTCCTCTTATGTTCTCTTACTTATATTTATCTCCCTTTAATTTTTCTGGTGCAATATTTCCTTAAGTATTTTCTAAAGAACAGATTTAGTTTGGCAAATTCTTTCTTTCTTTCTTTCTTTTTTTTTTTTTTTTGTAGAGGTTTTTGCTATAGGGTGCATGCACTCGCCAGAAAGACAGAGAGAGACAGAGAGACAGAAAGTGAGAAATCACCCCCCGGGGGGATGGCCACGTCGCAATTCTTTCTCCTCCATTCTTCTCTTGGGATCTTGGGCACACATGCACACGTGCTGGGTGTGTATTTAAGTCACTGGGTCTGAAGCTTGAACTATGATTGACTACATGTGAGTCCAGAGATATAGCCATTACATTAACTGCTGGGCCCAGTTTTGGCAAATTCTTCCAGCACTTGTTTATTGGGAATAATTTTATTTCTTCTTACTGTTTCAAGGATAAACTCACCAGATAGAGTATTCTTGGCAGAAATCGTTTTCCTTTCAGCATTTTAAATATGTCTTCTTATTTTTTCCTTCCCTGTATTGTTTCAGTTGAGAGATCTAATGTTAGTCTAATGGGGTAAACTTTGTAAGTAACTTAGCATTTCTTTTTTGTCATTTTTAGAATTTTTTTTTGTCTTTGATTTTTACCAATTTGGCTATGATATGTCTTAGAGAGGATCTTATATCTATTGGTGTCCTTCGTATTTCCTGGATTTGGATGTCCACATGCCTCTGTAAATTTGGAATATTTTCAGTTAATATTATCTTAAAAGCGATTTCCTATGCCTTTGCCTGTCTCTTTGCTTTCTGAAATACCTATGATGTGGATATTCATCTGTTTAATGATGTCTAGGATTTCCCATATGTTGTCCTGAGTTTTAGTAGTTGTTATTCCATTCTTTTCAGTTGCTTGGGCCAAATTGGAAGTTTTGTCTTCAAAGTCAGATATTCTTTCTTCTGCATGGTCTAATCTGCTGTTACTTTCAGTAGAGGTTTTGACTTCCTGCATTATAATTTTTACCTCCAGAAATCCTACTTGATTCTTTTTCAGGATGGAATTTCTCCTTTAAGTCATGAAAAGATTTTCCTTTTTTAAGAGAAATTTTTGCTATAGGGTGCATGCTCTCACCAGAGAGACAGAGAAAGACAGAGAGACAGAAGCAAGAAATCACCCTCCAAGGGGGGTTAACCATGCTGCAATCCCTTCTCCATTCTCTTCTTGGGATTTTGGGCACACATGCACATGTCCCTAGGATGAGTTTGAAGCCACTGGATCCAGGACTCAAACCATGGTTGACTATATGGGAGTCCAGTGATATAACAATTATGCTATCTGCTAGTCCCCAAGGAAGGATTTTTTCATCTCCTGAAACTGGTTGTCCAAGATCTTAACCTCCATACCACCTGTTGGCCCCTTGAAGATCTTTATTTCTTAAAATGTCCAGCAAATGAAGATGTTTGAACATCGTTGACATTAAATGTTCAATGTGAATGTATACAGCTTTGCAACATTAAGCAGTTACATCTACATGCCTCATTAATTACCCACCTGAGCTGACTGACACATATCTTAGAAGTTAGGGGCTCTGTAGAAACATCTGCGATGCTCAGGAAACATCCTGATCCTAGCTAAGTCATGTGAGATCTGTTCTATAAAATATTTATGGCTTACACATTATCTTCTTTGATGCATACTCAGATAGCCTTCCTTGGAGTTGCAGAGGAACACCACATTTACAGACAAGTAATCTGGCTTGGACCTATGACTCATAACAGGATCACACATGATAGTAACAAGACCGAAAAATGCATACACTAAAGCGTTTATCTCTAACTGTAGAACTTCAACTTCATCCTTGAAAGCTTGCAAAACAATTTACTATGCCTGGTAAAATGTATAAATAAAGAAGGTCAGCATGACTGAGCAGCACAGCTCGTCTGTGTTCACTGCATCTCTGCTTCTGCGTTTTTCTTTTTTCTAACTTTCCTTCTTTTTTTTTTAAACATCTTAACCTCTTTTTATTGATTTATTTATTTAAATTTGCTTTATTTTTTTAATTTAAATTTATTTATTTACATTAATTCACTGTCCATCATTACAGCATACAAAATGACCTTCTTATAGGACCAAGTCCTGGGGAGAATGCTGACAGCATTACCATTCAGAGAGATGTTACTCTTAAGCTTGCCAGCAGATGCCAACAGTTCATTAAGTGTATTTTTGTGAGTAAATAAATAAATATTTTATTTTTTCTTTTTTGTACACATGTAATACAACTTGTAAAGGTAGAAAAAAATTTCACATTTTGGAAGAGAATATATAAATAAATAAATATTTTATTTTTTCTTATTTGTACACATGTAAAACAACTTGCAAAGGCAGAAAAAAATTTCACATTTTGGAAGAGAATATTGTGTGTTTTTTGAAGTCTGTTTTAGTCCATGTCTACAAAATTTGAGATATTTTGCTAGACACTGAAGATGCATACTTGAATAA